CTATAGTTGGTACATAGTCCGGTGGTACCAGTGCCGTGTAGTATTTTGGCAGATCTTCCGTGGCTGTCCTTCCATCCCATTATTAATCACATGATGGTGGTAGTGGCGGCCCCTACGTAAAAGCCTGGCGGAAGAGCTCCGGCTTGCAGGCCCTGCAGAACTGCATGAGGTCCCACAGGGCCCTGATCTCCTCTGGGAGCTTGTTCCACCAGGTAGGGGCCGCCATTGAAAAGGATCTGGCCCTGGTCACCGCAAGCCTTACCTCCTTGGGGCCTCGGATTGTCAGGCGATGTTGTGTCCCCGACCGTAGGGCTCTCTGGGGTATGTATGGGGAAAGGCGGTCCCTCAGGTAGGTCGAACCCTGGCCATATAGGGCTTTAAAGGTAAGTACCAGCACTTTGAAATGGATCCAGTATGCTATTGGCAGCCAGTGCAGTTCTCTTAGCACAGGCTGGATGTGCTCCCACTTAGGGGAACCCATCAACAGCCTGGCCACTGCGTTCTGCACTAGCTGCAGCTTCCGGATCTGCAACAAAGGCAGCCCCATGTAGCGTTACAGTAGTCTAGCCTCGAGGTGACCGTCGCATGGATCACTGTTGAGAGCACATATTCAACCGGTGCTCTGCCAGCTGCACTAGCTCCAAATTGAGTACTGTATCAGGTTTAAGGTTCTGGCGCTGACATTTAAAGCCCTAAACGGTTTGGGACCAGTATATCTGCAGGACTGCCTCTCCCGGTATGTCCCTCAAAGAGCATTACGCTCAGCCAATGACAACCGGCTAGTGATCCCCAGCCCAACCTGGTGGAACAGGTCTGATGAAACCTGAACTCAGCAGAGACAAAACTATCCATGTCTATCCGTGCTTGCAAACCATTTATCCTAGAAGTTTTTACGTGCTACGGAGATGGACAAAGTGGGGCTCATGAACAACAGAGGTATGAGGAATATAAGGCTTCTGTAAGTCCTAAACTTGTGGGCACTTTCAGAATTTGGAAGCAGGTAGTGAACACCTGAACAAAGTAACTACCATGCAGGGGGCAGCGAGGGTGGATCGGCATTGCTAACTACGAACTGTGTGCCATGAGAACTGAAGTTAATCGCAAAATGTTGGGAGATTCCAAGCCAGGCAACCACCTCTGCTGGAAGCAAGTATTTCCGGAAAGGCGCTCCAGGCAATCATAAAGGTGATGCTTCGTAAACTCTTCTGAAACACTTCCTGTTCCAGTGGTAATAATACAAATTAGTAACATTCCAGTGCAAGTAGGAATTGAGGCATGCTGAAGGTGTCTGAGGACTAGCACTTTCAGCTCAGCTCTTGTGGGTTCTAACAAGGGTTGCCATCCTCCATTTGGATCCTGGCGCTCTCCCAGAATTACAACTGATCTTCAGGCTACAGAGATCAGTTCCCTGGTAGATATGGCTGCATTAGAGGACGGACTGTATGACATTATACCCCAGTAAGGTCCCTCTCCTCCCCAGGCTCCATCCATGGGTTGCCAGTCCCCAGAGTGGAGTGGTGGCAGGAGGGGGGGGGGAAACCCTGAAAATTAAAAATGGCAGCCGGGTTGATGGCATGATGTCTCTTCTGGAGAAAACCTGGCCATGACATCATGCCTCCCTAGGGATCACCAAATTCGGGATTTCTAGAAAGATGTGATGTCACATGCTGGTTTTTCCTGGAAGTAACATTATGCCATCGCTGACTGCCCCCCATGTCCCCACCTTCCATCCCTTGCTGGTTGCCAGGCTGGGCCTAACAACCCTGGTCTATCCCCAAATGTTCAGGAATTTCCTAAGTCAGAGTTGGCAACCCTAGTTCCAACAACTAGCAACATATACTAAATAGCAACAAGAAGTTTAATAAGGTAAATAATAGGGAAACTTCATCTAAGAAGGGGTGGGAAATAATAAGTGGTTCACGAGTGATTCTTTAACTAGACATATCATGCTTTCTGGTTAAAGAGTAGGAACCTACTGGTCCCAGGCTCTCCTTCCCAGGGCTCTCCTAGCACAATCAAACACTCCTTCAAGCCTTTACTTTGAGAGGCTATCTGACAGCAGGATCCCATTCCCTGCTCCTAATTCTCCAAGCCCCTCTGGTGCCCTTCCAGTTCACTCGCCTGTTCCTGGTGGCAGTTCACTCTCAGAACTTTTCTCTCTTTTTCCTCTCTCTCCTCCTTAGGAAAAAGGCAACTGTTTCTTAAGCCATAGTCCGGGGCAGCTGGAAGAAGTTGGGCAGATGCTAGTGCACCAGGATGCAGTAGGGTGATCCACTTCCCCCACAGGAAGGGTGGGGACTCAGACTCACCTTCTTCCACCACCTCCCATCATCTCCTGTTCTCTACTGGTCACCATTACTGTGCATGGTTCTACCACCTACTGGAGTGGCAGCAGCTCACCCCTGCCCCCAATCCAAAACAAAAGGCAATAGAAGTAGTCTACCCCAACAGTTTGCAAGGGTTGGCTCCCTATTTTCTGGAATACTGGTCTCTATAGTGAGGACATGTTATACTCCAGGTTTGACTGTCATGTGCAAAAAGTCCAATTTTCATACCAAATTTTAGCTTTCTGGACAACCTGGAAGTACATGAACCATTTTGACGGTATAGTTTGAAACCGCAGTTTTGAGGAAGATGTGTATAAATGTGCCCTTTCAGATTTTCTTGTTGCAGCACTTTGGCATACATGCATGCCAAATTTTAGGGCTTCAGCTAATTGGGAAGTACCTTAACACTTTTGGTTCTCTTATGTGTTAAATGTGTTAAAATGAGTAATATACCAGCAACTACATTATACCAATTGAATGGCAAAAGAACTTTCATGAAGAACAGATCAAAACATAAGGGTATGAAAATGCAAACTCCAAAAAGTAGGGACATGCAATGATGAGCAATTCTTGCCTTCAGTCACTGTACATCAACCTTAATTCTGAACTTCAATTCCGAAAAAGCGGAAGTTTGCCTAACCAGTCCCCAAAGCTGCTCAGCTATTGAGAAATATAATTAATAATTGAAAATTCTTAAATAAAACTATTATTTAAAACTACAATTTTCCAGTTGTTCCTCCACAACACAGTGGCTAATGTCCTGCTACCATTTTCTACTGACCATCTGCCAGTCCTCCCTCTGTGCCCCATCCATTCTACAAGCTTTGTGCCACTTAGTGCATTGGATACAAGTTTGGTTATACATCATACAGGGGCACACCATAGGTAAATATAAACTTACCTTATAGGTTTGAACATAGCTTTCCCAAAGTCCTGAAACCGTAGAACAATTTTCAAATGCACTCCACTGGGTTTTACAACTGAGAAATGAAAGAGATTCATGCCTGCGGTCAAAAACAGACTTCAAAAAATTCTACCTTTTTGTACATGTTTATTTATTTGTTTGTTTAATTTGTATCCCGCCCTCCCTGCCAAGGCAGGCTCAGGGCGGCTTACAGGACATATGTTAAAACACAAGATTTAAATAAAACTACAACATATAAATAAAAACACATCATAAGGTGTTAGTACAATAATAAGCAATGGTGGCATTTTCTCATCATCTGAGTGGTCAACTAGCACCATAGCACAGGCTGTTGATTATTAAGTTGGTGTTGATATTGGGGCCAGAGACTCCATATTAGAAAGGCAGCACCCTAATCTAAGGCCTGGTGGAAGAGCTCCATTTTACAGGCCCCGCGGAACTGTAAAAGGTCTCGCGGGGCCCTGATGTCGTCCGGGAGCTCATTCCACCAGTGCGGGGCCGCCACAGAAAAGGCCCTGGCCCTTGTCACAGCTAGCCTGGCTGTGACCCCGATCTTAGTGCTCTCTGGGGTCCCCATTTTGGGACCCTGATCTTAGTGCTCTCTGGGGAACATGTGGGGAAAGATGGTTCCTTAGGTATGTAGGTCCCTGATCATATAGGGCTTTAAAGGTAAGAACCAGCCCCTTGAACCAAATTCAGTTCAAGGCAGCCAGTGCAGTGCTTTTAGGGCAGGCTGGATGTGCTCCTGCATAGGGTGACACAACAACAGCCTGGCCACTGCATTCTGTACCAGCTGCAGCTTCTGGATTTGGGACAAGGGCAGCCCTATGTAGAGAGCATTGCAGTAGTCCAATCTCGAGGTAACCATTGCATGGATCACTGTTGCCAGGTCACTGCATTCAAGGAAGGGAACCAACTGCCTAATCAGCCGCAGATGGTAAAAGTGGCTTTGCAGTGGCTGCTAACTGGGTCTCCATTGTTAAGGAGGCATCCAGGAGCACTCGCAAACTCCTCACCTCCAGCGCTGGCACCAACGGCACCCCATCAAAGGTCGGGAGTGGGATCCCTAACCTTGGCTCGCTCTGACAGGCACAGGACCTCCGTCTTCATCGGATTCAATTTCAGTCGACTTAGTCTAAGCCAACCAGCCACAGCTTTCAACTAGAGTCTGACTGGCCGTCCAGCAACAGATAGAGCTGGGTGTCATCTGACAACCCCGTCCATGACTCCAGGCAATCTGGGCGTATAGATGTTAAATAACATTGGGGAAAGCACCGCTCTTTGGGGCACTCTGCAAATCAGCGGGTGCCTTCCGGATAGCTGTTCCACAATGGCCACCCTTTGTCCCCGACCCTGAAGAAATTAGGAGAGCCACTGCAAGGCAAACCCCCGAATCCCGGTATTGGCGAGGTGGTGGACAGTAGTTGATGGTTGACCATGTTGAACACTGCTGACAGGTCTAACAGCAACAACACTGCCATACCACCCCAATCCAGATGCCTCCGGAGATCATCTTTGAGGGCGACCAGGACCGTCTCTGTCCCATGGCCTGGTTGGAAACTGGACTGGAAGGGATCTAATATGGAGGTGTCATCCAAAAAACCCTGCAGCTGGATCGCCACCGCCCTCTCAATTAGTTTGCCCAGATAGGTCAGATTGGATACCAGCCAGTAATTAGCCAATTTGGCCGGATCCAAGGATGATTTTTTTGGGGGGAAAGGATGGACCACTGCCTCCTTTAGTGCACTAGGGAACAGTCCCTCAATTAGGGACTTGTTGATGATCTCCCTTAGTGTGCCTCGTAGCCCATCGTGGCTGGCTTTAATTAGCCATGACGGGCACGGATCGAAGCTACAAGTGGTCGGGCAAACAGATGAGAGTAATTTGTCAACCTCCTCTAGGCTGAGTGGACTGAAATAATCCAAAACTTGACAAGAAGACGCACGTGGAGTCTCGAGTTCCTTTACTGCCTCAACCGTGGTGGGGAGGTCGTGGCGGAGCGACAAGACTTGTTGTACAGTAATGTATTAATATCCAAGATTCAGAATGGGTTGATCAAGAAGGAACTCGCGTAGCTCCATAGCTCAGTGGTTTCCCACAACTGCAGCATGAGAGGTGAGGAATTAAGCATTTCCCCCCTCCCACAAATCTTTCTGGGTCACTGCTGGATGCTCTTAATCTAATATGAGTGGTTAATTTTTATGTACCATCAACTGATCAATGACAGGCCCGTAACTATAGTGGGGCCTCTCAGGGCCTGGGCCCCTCACTTATTGCCAAGGCCTCCCATCTTATCCCGCCCAGGGCCCCTGACTTCCATTTTTTAATTTTATTTATGGTGCTCGTCACTGGCCATGGCGGCTCTCTCTCAGCAACCCCGGCCCCTCTCTCTCGTCAGTTGGGCTTGCCTCCCCTCCATGCTTGGTGTCTGGGCTCGCTATGCCAGTGGGAAGATTGCGACAGACGGAGTGAGTGGGGAGCCCAGCTCCAGCAGCCAGGGGGGATCCAATGGCAGTGGTAGGTGAAGGATGCAGGGCTGGGGTGTGGGTGAGTACTGCCCGGGGGCCGATGGGCTTGGCTGTGTTGGCATGGCTGGAGAGGGCCTGGCGGTATGTGTGTCAGGATTGTAGACTGCTGGCCTTTCTCCCCAGGAGGCAGGTAGCTTGGGGGGGGTTTGCAGGTGTGTGTACGGGGTGCCCCTTGACTTATTTAAAGGCCCCTGGATTTTAAAAAATCCTGGCTATGGTCCTGATCAATGACATTCTGAATTTGTCCATTACTAACCAAGCTTGGATTTGTATAAAGGTACTAATGAACTGCAAGTCAAAATCTTCAAGAAAAACATCCCTGTGATAAAGGATGGGAAGGAAACATAGTAGAATTATATTTAAATGTTTGGGACTGGGCAAAATGCAAACCAAGCTAAGGCTCAGAAGTAACAATGGCAGGTTTAATGAATAAAACTGATTAAAATCCATTCATTCTGCTCATCAGACACTGCTCCCATGACACATGAATACGGTTGCTAACTCTGGGTTGTGAAATTCCTGGAGATTTTGTGGAAGAGACTGGGGAGAACAGGATTTGGGGAGAGAAGGGAGCTCAGCAGGATATAATGCCATAGAGTTCAGCCTCCAAAGCAGCCATTTTCTCCAGGGGAACGGATTTCTGTTGTCTGGAGATCAGTGGTAATTCCAGGTGATCTCAAGGCCCCGCCTGGAGGTTTGCAACCCAGTGCATGAAGCAGGACATGTAACACAAATAATTACATTCACCTACTTTGTGTGCAGTCACAAGCACCTAGCAATGCTTTCTCGTCCTGACTGTAATCTGAAATGAAAAGAAAACCAGTGAAATCCAAAACCATTGAATATGGATATTTTCTTGGAAATGAAGTGTATTATAATTCATGTGCCTGCCTCCGGGTCATTTAGATCTTTATTTCTTGACCAGCAGCTGGGAGATGTTACTCGGTGATCTCTTTTTGCAACAGAATGGACTTTTAAAAACATTTTGGATAAGGCATAAGGTCTACTGCTTAAGGGGTGGGGGGTTGCAGCAGGTATGCCCAAACATTTCGGCACACCTAAAGTAGGCAGGTACATTTTATTTCATGTAGCCAAAACTGTTACAAGATTAGTGTAAGTAAAACATAAATTACAGGAAAAAAAAAACAATTGGCAAGACAGGTTGCCAACCACCAAACAAGCTTCATCCTACTGAAACAAGTATGAGTATAATTGTTAAAAAATTGCACTAGGGATCCCAGCCCCCCAGTTTGGGAGGGGGATTCCCTGATTTGGATCAGGCTTCCATGCTGCCGACCAACTGGCTGGTGGTGGTGGTGAAATCCCACTCCGAAATGACTTTTTGGGCCACTTCTGGTAAAACCGGAAGTACCACCCTGACGCAATGAGTTTTGTCCAAGTAACAGTGTCCCCACGCAACTTTTCTGGTGCAATGATGTCACTTTTGGGTGACGCCATCGCGTCAGGGATGTCATGCAATGTCCCCCCACTAACTGTGTCTGAGAGGCAATTGATGCCTCTTCAGGAGAGGGGGTGGTCACTTCAGTCTTGAAACAGCAGTGGTGTGTCCATTTCTAAAGATGCCTACCCTGGACCCAGAAGATCTCAATAACTATTGACCAGTCTCAAATGTCCCATTCCTCAGTAAAGTCATTGAATGGGAAGTAGCTGGGAAACTTCAAGCATCGCTGGATGAAGTGGATAGTATAGATCAGGGGTGTCAAACCTATGGCCCATGGGCCGGAATTGGCCCACCTGGGGCTTTGATCAGACCCGCGGCTCTCTTCTCTACCCCTCCCCTGCCTGTCCTCACCCTTCCAAGGGAGATTGGGGCTGCTGAACTTCCCAGCTGGCTGGGTCTTGTCTTTGCAGTTTCTCCTCGAGCAGGAAGCTCCTCTGGGCTAAAGCACAAAAAAAGCTGCAAAGAAAATGTGGAATGGATTTTTCTTTAAGGTCTCTAGGTCCAGATAGACTACTCTGGGACTGGAATGGCAGCCCCCAGAGTGGAATTATGGTCCCTGAGTGTAGCAGCTGCATTCTAGGAATGGAATTCCACACTGGGGGCTGTCAATCTAGTCCCAGAGTAGTCTATATGGGCCCAGAAACCTTAATAGAAAACCCATTCTGCATTTTCTTTGCAACTTTTTTTTTGAGCAGCAATGTATTTCAATGGAGTGGAGCTCCAGTAGTTTCAGTTTCCAGTGTTTGTATGCCCCTGAAGTTGTCTCCTTGCAAATAAAGGGCTGATATTTTGAGCCAGCTTGTCTCTACTGAATGAACCTAAGAATGGGTACCTGAGTGAGTACTCTAACCTGGGAACCCACAGCCAAAGGGGGACATTGCACTGGAGAGCCACTGCCACTCTAAGTAGACTGGTGGTGGGAGCTTGTAATGCCCAACCATTTCATGTTTTCCAAGACTCAGAGCATTTTATATTTTTAGTTTTTATTTTTAGTTTCTGCTTTATCTTGATGTTTTCTTTAAAAAAAATTCATTGCAAAATCCCACTATCCCCCCACCTTTCCATTTTAGGCAGGCATCTTTTAAGGGCGATGGGGGGGAGGTTTGGGAGGTATCAGTTATCAAAGACAGTTAAATAAACAAAATATATCAAAAGTGTTACTGTTTTAAGCATGTCTGAATTTTAGGTTAAAATTTTTTTAATTGTGTTTGTTGGTGTCCTTTATAAAGTTAATATCTGCGCTACCTGGCATTACATTTTATGACACACATAGCCTGTCCCAACAAAGTTCCATTTATGTCAGATCCGGCCTTCATAACAAATGAGTTTGATACCCCTGGTTTCGATCCTTTTCAGTCTGTTTTCAGGCCTAATTACTGGACTGAAACAGCCTTGGTTGTGCTGGTGGATGACCTGCTCCAGGAGATGGATAGAAGGATTGACTCTGTTGATTCTCATGGACCTCCCAGCAGCTTTTGATACAATTAATCATGGTATCCTTCTGGACCAGGCTGGGATTGGGAAGCACCATTCTGTGGTGGTTCTGGTCCTTAGCTGGAGGATAACTTTCAGAAGGAGGTGCTAGAGCACTGCTGCTCAGCCCTTGGCAATTGGCCTGTGGGATCGTGCAAAGTTGTCTCTTATCCACTGTGTTCTTTAACATCTACATAAAACTGTTGGGTGAGGTCATCTGGATATTTAGGCTGGGTAGTCGGCAATATTTTGATGATATTTAGTTCTATCTTGCATTTCAAGCAGATCCAGGGGAGGCTGCAGAAACCTTGAACCAGTGCTTGGAAGTGATTTTGGATTAGATATAGACTAATAAATTTAAGATTAATCCTGACAAGATGGAAGTGCTACTGGTGAGCAGAAGGTCTGACCTGAGATTTAAGATGCCACCTGTTCTGGATGAGGCTGCACTCCCCTTGAAGGAACAGGTTAGTCATCCAGGGGTGCTCTTGCACCCAGGCCTTGTGCTTGAAAAACAGGTGGCAATGGTGGCCAGGAATGGCTTTTACCAGCTTCATCTGGTTAGCCACCTATGACATTTCCTGAGCAGAAAAGATCTGGCCATTGTGATAGCTACGTCTAGATTAGATTACTGCAATGCACTCTACATAGGACTGCCCTTGAGAAGTGTTTGGAAACTTCAGTTGGTGCAGAATGCTGCTGCCAGGATGTTGACTGGAGTAGGGACCACATCACTCCAGTCTTGGCCAGTCTACGCTGTCTACTGGTTTGTTCCCAGGCACAATTCAAAGTGCTGATGTTGACCTTTAAAGCCCTATGTGGTTTGGGACCAAGATACCTAAAGGACCTCCTACTCCTTTATGAACCCACATGAAAACTTTGGTCATCTTTGGACATCCCACTTCAGGTGCCTCCACCTTCTGAGATTAGGCAGGTGGCAACTCAGGAGAGGTCCTTCTTCGTCATGGCACCAAAACTTTGGAACTCTCTTTTCCCAGGGAGATCTGTTTGTCCCCTTCTGTTGCTGTTCTCCACCAGCAGGTAAAGTCTTTTCTTTTCTTTTCTTTGCGTGGCATTTCCTCAGTGATCCCTCCTTCCTGCCCCTGTTTTAATTGTTGTTTTTTTGTCTTTCTGTGTATTTTAGTTCTGGTTTTAATTGTTTGAATGATGTGTTGTTGTTTATGTGGTTTGGGGGGGGATTGTTTTTAATGACTCTAAAATGTGATTTTATTGTGTATATTTTAATTTGTTAGCCACCTTGGTGGCCCTTGTGAGGACAGAAAGGCAGCATATACATTTGGTAAATATATAGAGACCTAGAGCAGAGGAAACCTAGGGTTGCCAACCTCCATGTGGCACCTGGAGATCTCCTGCTATTATAGTTGATCTCCAGAGGATAAAGGTCAGTTCTGCTGGAGAAAGTGGTTGCTTTGGAGGGTGGACTCTATGGCATTATACCCCGCTGAGGTCCCTCCCCTCCCCAAACCGCAGCCTTCCCTGGCTCCACTCCCCAAATCTCCAGGTATTTCCCAACCCAGAGCTGGCAACCCTAAAGAAGCCTCAAGGGTCATCTAGTCCAACACCCTCCACGATGCGAAAAATTCACAGCTATCTCCCCCCACCCCCCCATCGAACCCTGTTCTATGCCCAGAAGAAGGCAAAAAACCTCCACAATCCCTGTGCCAATTTTACATGTGTTTGTCTTTGCACATAGCTGTGCAAGAGAGCTTTGGCTATTCACGGCTCCTTGGAGTGTGCACCTATATGCTCTAGAGACCTGTAAACATGTATGTGCCTTACGCAGAATTTACAGCTTTTATAGGTACGTCTGGATTGTCATTGTTGTGTATGTGTTAATATATGCAATAAGTGAATTGAGCCTCAATTATAGGAGGATGGGTTCAGATTACACATTCAGAGAAAAAATTTATTGGCTCTGGTGAGAAAACCTGGTGTGTACAGACAGATTTCTGTAAGTAGCTCTGGATGTACAAAGGTCTGTTACATAGAGAAAATAAGCACAAATTCAATCATTCCATTATAATCACATGCCCTATCCTATTTAGGACCCGTTGCTGTCTGGGTAGCCTTAAGCAAAGAAACACACAGCCAGTCTACTGATTGTGCTTATGGTTTCCTGAATAGTGGCAGCTATTCAGAAAGCCAACTTACCAGCGCTAATGGTGCTGAAACGAGGCATGTCCTGGAGAAGCTGGTCAACAGCAGGGCTGGACCGTGGATACAGTGCATTGCGATTGATTCCCAGGTGGAACTGGAGCCAGCTTGCTTCCTGCTTGAACTGTATCAGTGAGTCCAAGGTGAGGTTGCGCTCCTCTTTGTAAATCTTGTGTCTCCTGAAATATGGAATGAAAACATGGTGAGTCCAGAGTTACAGAAAGAGCTTTAAACATATTCCATCCTTCCCCTCAAGTAAAGTCAATTCAGTTTCACATGATTCCCCACTCCTCCACGTGCAACTGCTGGTGTGACCTTGGGTTAGTCATAAGTTCTTTCAGAGCTGTTCTCTCAAGGGCAGTTCTCAAGAGAGCTCTCTCAGCCCCACCTACCTCACAGGGATTCTGTTGTGGGGAGGGGAAGGGAAAGGGATTGTAAGCCACTCTGAGACTCCTCTGGGTAGTGAAGGGTGGGGTATAAACCCAATCTCTTCTCTTCTTCTTCATAATTAAAACTGGGACCAAACTATGTGACCTAGGGTTGCCAATCTCCAGGTGGGCAAATAAAACAAAAAAAAACCCATGTACAAATCAAAGATGAATGTAACTAATGATTTATAAGGTATAAAGCTAAAGAACAAACACTACTACAAGGCCGAAATATACATTATATAAATACATGAAATGTAAAGCAGACGATACCACTCTGATGGCAGAAAGTGAAGAGGACCTAAAGAGCCTCTTGCTCAGGGTAAAAGAGGAGAGCGCAAAAGTGGGC